TCCTTCATTTTTCTTCCCCCTTTTGGCATCATAAAAGAATATATGCTAGTAAACGCAAAAAGAAGTCCAGCAAAGTTAATTCATGATACTTGTGTGCACACAACATAGCTAAAAAATAGAGCACAAGAGTATAACATGCATAACAAAAGACTGAGATGCTCATTAATTAATTTGAGAAGAAAACAGATGCAGTAGTACCATTGTTTACAAAACAACCACACAAAAAAAACAAACTTAAAGTACCACAGTCATAAAAACAACAAGCCAAAAAGGGACATTGGGGTTAAGACAAACATCGTTAAACTAGACACTGACAAGGAAACTGCTTAAGGGACACTGGATGAGGGAGGGAAAGATGAGAGGCAAGGGCTTTAAGAAGACTATCCACTCGAGCATTTACAGTCCGCTGCTCGTTTATCAACTGCTATTTCAGGTCCTTAACCTGTTTCCTCAGGTTTGCATTTTCAGCAGTAAAGCAGGCACCCTCTGCACCCTGTGCACTTCTAGAACCAGGTTCCTCTTTGGCTTGACTGAGCTGTCCCTCAAGAATGGCATTCCTAGCCTTCAGCTTCCTTATTTCCTCGTTAGCAACAGTCTGAGCATCAATTAACTGAAAAATAGTAGAATTACTGCCAACACCCCCTTCTTGTCTATACACTCGCATTCCTCCACGGTTGTCATTGAGAAAGTTTGCTTTCGAGTTCCCACTGCTGCTCTTCCCAAAGGGACTTTAAAGAATTCAAACACTTTAGTGAGTAAGAACCCTTAAGGAAAACCATGGTTCCCGCCCTTGAATTCTACTACCTTTTTCATATGTTCAATCATAATACCAGGCAGGTTGATGGTAGTATATGCATCCAGTACTTCCATGAGGAACAAGTTTGCTTTCGAAGTAATGGAACGCCTCTCTGCACATGGAAGCAGGACCTTGTTCACTATATCAAACATAAGCTGATACTCTGGAAGGAGGGCCTTCTTATGCACCTGTTCCCCTCTCTCAACAACCTGAGCTTTTAGAATGATTTTCTAAAGTCAGTGGGCACACCCAAGATACTTCCTAAAACAGCTTCATCCATCACAAAATCCACTCTATTAACCTTCAAGCAGATATTGTCGTCTTCTACAATAAATAGATCTGCCTAGAAACTACAAACCTCCTCTTCATAAACCTTAGGACTCTGAATGGTAAATAGATGAGTCCACTTTTGAAACTCACAGATTACAAATAGCTGTCTCATGCCTGACATTTCAATAATGTTAGCGTCAAACGTTCTGCCCCATAGCACTATTTGCTTCTTCAAGTTTTCTCTTCTCTCAACTTCAGACACTTCTACTTTGGCTTTCTTGGAGGAACCAGGTTCCTCTCTGTCACTTGCCTTCCTCTTCTGAGACTTCTTCACATCTTTCTCCTTTTTTCAGACTTACTTTTCTCACCAGATTTATTTTCTTCAACACACTTCTATGTATCAATCTCCACCCCTTTCACAGGCGATCCTTTCTTGGATTTTATAAGCACAAATTTCTTAAAGGATTTATGAACCAAGGAAGAAGGTTCCCCATTCACCTCTTCATCTTCAACATTCACAAAGTTTGCCAGAGGCACATCCTCCCCATTCACTAACTTTTCACCTTTCACCAACCTTAACTCTTTGCATACAATTGTATACCATGTTGGTATATCTATATACTATACTGGTATCATATGTTAGTTGGAACCTTTTGTGATTGTATTAGCTACATTTAATTGGTACACTATTTGATTTTTCTTTAGTAATAGTAGAATAGTACAATATCTTGAATTTTTTTATTTGTCCTTTATGCATATGTATTATGTAATCATTTTGATTTTTTCTTTATGCGTTTGTTTTATATAATAGTATTATAGTACAATATCTTGAAATATATTATAATGTTAATATGTAGTACACTGAATTTTTATTTTTCTCTTTATGCATATGTATTATGTAATAGTAGTATAGTCATATATAGCTGCCTGAAATTAATTAGTAAAACTGTATACCCTATTGGTATAATTATATGTCATATTGGTATCATATGGTAGTTGAAATATGTTTTGATTGTTTTAGCTACATTTTAAGTGATTTCTATTCTGAAATGATTTATATGATCATATTTTGCTGTGTTGGATTTTTTTGTACATATGGACATAGATTTTGTGTATTATGTAATAGTTTTTATAGTTATATGCAATTGTTGGAACGAACCCGTATAACTATATACCCTATTAGTATAGCTATATATTATATTTGTATCATATGTTAGTTGAATCTTTTTTTGGTTGTATTCTGCATTTAATTGGTATACTATTTGATTTTTTTAAATAATAGTAATGTAGTACAATATCTTGAAATACTTTATTATATTAATATGTGGTACACTATTTTTTTATTTTTCTCTTTATGCATGTGTGTTATGTAATAGTAGTATAGTCATATAGTTGCCGGAAATTAATCAGTAAAACTGTGTACCATATTGGTATAGTTATATGCCATATTGGTATCATATGGTAGTTTGAACATTTGTTTTGGTTGTTTTAGCTGTATTTTTAAGTGAATTATATTCTGAAATTATTTATATGAACATGATTTGCAGTGCTGAGATTTTTTTGTGCATATGGACATAGATTATGTATATTATGTAATAGTTTTTATAGTTATAGGCAATTGTTGGAACAACCCCATACAACTATATACCCTGTTAGTATAGAGCAAGTTGCTTTGCGAATATTTAGCTTGCAATGCGAGCATGTAATTTTCTCATACTTTTATTGCATCCTTTAATGTTTTGGTACAATAGTATAGTCGCAGTTAGTTGTAGAAATATTCTAGAGCAATCATACACTTTGTTGGTATACATATATACCATATTGGTATCATATGGTACTAGAAGTCTTTTTTGCTACTTATATTTTTATTGCATTTTTCAATATTTTATTATCATTTCTATTCTAACTAGTATATATGAAGATTTGGTGGTTGTAGATTGGATTTTCTTGCTCCATAACTGGTTGCGTTACTGCTAATGGTAGAGTGTGTACTCATATTTGTAGGGAAGGAGATCAAGGTTTGCATGGCAATCACATGTTGATTCTTAGAATCTGATTATGTAATTTATGATGCTCAGCAGCAGTCGGTGTGACATTCAGTGAATTAGATCAAGTGACAACTGATATTATTTCAGTTTAATAGTTGAATTAAAAAATGAGAAAAATGATAAAAGGCATATTATACTAGTTATATTATATATTTACTATATCAGTTATTTTTCTTATTGTATAAAAACACGAATAATAAAAAATAATAAAAACAGTAAATAAAATTAGATTATGAAGAGAAAAAGAATATAAAAAAAGAAGTTAAATGAAATTAGAAAAGGAACAAGAAATAAAAAAAAAAAAGAAGAGTTAATGAAATTAGAAAAGGAACAAGAAAAAAAGAAAAAAAAAATAAAGGAGTCAAAATTGACTGCGAAATAAGTTATGGTAAAAATAGCAATAATACGATTTGGGCAAAAATAAATGAATAAGAAAAGAGGAAAAAGAAAAAAATAAGAAGAAAATGAGAAAAAGAAAAGGAGAAAAAAAGGAAAAAAGAAAAAAGAAAAAAGAAAAGAAGCATAGAAATAAAAAAGAATTGAAGAAAAAAGATAAAATTTCCCAAAAAAACTACTATGGATAGGAAATATAATTAGTTTGATGGGTAGAAAAATAAATGGGTAGGTAAGGGTAAATAATTTTATTTTTGTGGATAACTGTGTTATTAACCCAAAAATTATTTTTGGAAAAATAGCCTGGTGCACCAAAAATTTTGACAATTACTAGAATTTTGAAGCACCAGAAATTTATCGAAAATGTTAAAAATTCTGATGATCCCTTAGTATTTGTTTGTTAATGTGATCACCCAAATTTAATTAGAAATTATGACGATCGTCATGCTTTAAAATTGACACTAAACTATATTTTTCAAATCTTGTATTACCGAGATAAAAAAATCAATAGCAGCACAAAAATATTCTATTTGTATCGTTCGCCCCAAATTCAATACCTCGACCCGATGTAATGACAAACAATTAGTCTTATGTGTGACTTTCTGTATTTTAACGATCACATTTCCATCTTAAAACAGAAATTCCTGTAACATTAACTGTAGACATGGTCAAATTTTAAACAAAATACTTGATCGCCAAGTACATAAAGTCATTATTATTTTCCCATTTTTCAAGCAATTGCCAGGAAGCTCCCAAAGCATAATCTTAATGATGACAATTCCATAGTTCCCTTGCTTCCCAAGCAGTTCTGGTACTATAAATACCAGAAAGAATAAATAATGTTACTAAGCCAGAAGAGTGATTTGACAATATTAGTTCACTGTCTTGAAACAACAAAGCCATGGCACAAGTTGGACCCTGTATTGCTGAAATTCATGTGATGCAGAAACTTCATAAGTAGAAAATGAAGATTGAAACGACCAAGAAGAATGAGGCTGTTGACGGAGATAACAAGACTTCTTCTTCAGCTGGGAGATGTTATTCTTGAAACTCAGTTATGCTACTAGGGAATTGCTTAGTTGGGATAATACCTAGCCCAAGAATTGCTTTAATTTACTTCGACTTGATTAGCACAAATATATATAATGATTTCGTCCTAGAATTGTTTGATTGTACAGATGATTCTTTAAATTTGGAATTTGGGAAATGAAATAATCTTTCTTGTCTCATTCTTATTAATCCCCACTGTTGGTCACCTCCGCCTAGGTATATGTCAATTCCAGGCACAGGTACCCTCCCTCTTGCTGAGTCTAAGTCGTGATATCAAGTGGGTCTAAATCTTGCTGAAGAGAATAAACACGTGTCAATTGTTGTAAGAATAAGGGCAAGCTTGATTCCTCATACTTGAGTACGACAAGTGTAATCCCACAAAGCGTATGCAGACCTTACACTTACCTTGTGAAGGTAAAGAGATTGTTTCTGATACTCAAGTGAAAAGTAAAACAATACTAGTATGAGAAGGAAAATCATTTCCAACATAGGAGATAACTGAAACAATTTATATTGATGCCAAGCCAAGTGCATTGGAGCATCACCAAGGCAAAGTGCAGCTAGATTTCCGAGTACATTTGGTCTGTGAACCGTTCTGATGCTGAACTTTATGATAACACCATAAAATCCCAAACTAAATGAAACCAAACAAATTACAAAACTATAGATTTTCTATTGCTTATGTTTCTTCTTTTCTTTTTTTCCGAGTCCCTCTTCTTTGGTACTCCACCTGTCCACCACCACTACCACTGCTTAAGATATCTTTAAAAACGAACAATTACGTTCTTTGCACAAAGGTTTTCCTAAAAGTAGTGCATCAACTCCTTTCAGCCCTCTTCAGGTGTATCAACAAACTACATGGTATCCCTCCATTCTAAATCTTTTATATATTTTTCTTTTTCACTTACTTTTACTTTTAGGATACTTGTTAATGCATCCAAAAGACTCTCCTACTGAAAAATATATAGAGCCATAAAATATAACCAAAGTGGAACAATTCCATTACTGGGTAAGATGAATTACAAGATTGTACATGCACACCCTCCTTTTGTAGGGGAATCCTCCTTCAGCTTATCTGCGACAAATGTATAAAGAAAAATCATTCAGTAGGCTTTAAATTTTAATAAGAAACAAAATGAAAAGAATCTCAAATCCTTAAATCATATAAAAAAATAAGTATAGCTTATCTTTTTCCTCTCTGTTCCTGTCAAAAAATATGACCAGGCAAGACTGGCTATGACACACTGAAGTTTTTCAAAAGGAAAGCTTCACAGATGTGTGAATATGGAACTGCCCCTAATTGACGATGGTAAGTGGAAAGCACTAAACACTAAGCTGTTCCAATGTATGTCCTATCCAATCATGTATAGTGTTAACAGACCTCAAATAAGACACTTTTCTGACTTCTCTGAATAATCGGAAAAGGAAGGAGAAGAATCCCCTGTACCTAGGAGCAAGGTAGAGGATGGGTGCGCGAGTTTGGAGAAAGTGCCAAAAGAATAGAATTGGAGTTGTCATCTAGCAATTAGACAAGCTAAAATAATTTCACTACTTACTAACAAATTAGTATCATCTGCAGTGCAAAACATTGGAAAGAACAATAAAACAGATTGATCAAAATTGGACACTGACTCGATATCATCAAAACAAAAATAACAGAAAAAGAGACATTTCAGAGCTATTTGTCTAATAGGTTTTTCCTTGCCTCTCCTATTTCATATTTTATTACAAGACAGCTATAGATTTTTACAAGAGAATATAAAATAATAGGAGGAAACCTAAGAAGTTACACTAACTGATTTAATCACGAATGAGAGCCAGTGACATGCTACTTCTGCTTGATGAACTATTAATAGAGGTTTTTTTTGACTTATCAACACAAGATCGAAAAATAAAAAAGAAAAGAAGAAGAAAGCATGTGAACCGGGAAGTCTGGATTCACCATTGTTTTTGTCATGAATAGGGGGGCGTACAACAACATGCATAGTGATGACACCTCCTGGAACTTCAGCGACGGGAAGTCTGGATTCACCGAGAGTTCTACTATTTTCAAGAATCCTTCCAGCATTAATAAGCTTCACGTCATTTGTTGTCCTTGGACCACTATCTTTATCTGCGCCACAGTAAGATCTTCTGTTAGCTGGGTTATTGCTGGTTAAAAGAGTATCTAAATTATGAGCAGCTAACGTAGGGTTGCAGATTCAGGCATCTTGGTATATAAAACATATGAGAGTTCACTGAAAATTTGAGTCTCAAATTAACCTTTTCATTCCTGTAAGTAGTGGGAATTATAGATTCTCTTTGGCTTTAGAGCATCAAAACAAATAACATGCGGATTTTGCTTAATCTAATCCATTTTAGATTAGTGGCTGATAGCTGATGCAGATTATATACAAGAAGATTTGCTAAATGCAAATACAAATTCATAGTTCTAGAACTAATATTTTCGTCATATGTAATAATTCAGAGACGGATCCAGGATTTGGGGGTTCCGGGTGCCAAGCAGAAGGAAAAGATGGACCTTTGCCACTAGCACCTTGGCGACTTTTGTTCTGTGCACTTTAAATATATATACTATTTCTTATCCGTATTTACATATATACATAGAGTTTTCGCTGAAGCTTGCGGGTGGCGTACCACCCCGAATCATATACATAGATCCGCCCTTGTGTAATATTAGTCCTTGAAGTTGGTTAAGCGTGGAGGGGAACCTTGGAACAATGGTAAAATTGTCTCCGTATGACCTATAGGCCACGGGATCGAGCCGTAGAATCTCCAGTGATGCTTGCATCAGGGTAGACTGCCTATATGACAACCCTTGGGGTGCGGCCCTTCCCCGGACCCCACATAAACGCGGGATATTTCGTGCACCGGGCTGCACTTTGGAGTTGGTTAAGCTCATTTTGCTTCGCAATTGTGTTCGCATTTAGGTTTTTAAGTGTTGCATGCTCTTTTGATTGGTGGGCAGCTTATGTTGTTTCAGGCCTACGGCAATTCCTTGCTGGCCCCTGTTCTAGAGCCTGTGTGAAAGCACGCAGAAAAATGATATCGTCAAAAGTTGACTTGATCATACAATGAAGCATCCATTTTGAAGCCAGAAATGATTAGAGTATTTAAGTTGCTCTACCTTTTGAATTTTTTAGTGCCTCTTTCATATTCAGTAGTATTTTATATATTGGTTGCTCCAAACACAGCTGTCTGAGCTTGTTAACATTGTCCCAAACTCGAACAAAGGAAAATGGTTATGGTAGTTCAATAATGGAATGAACTGGGTCAAAATGGAGCGAAATGGATAGTGCATTCTTGGAATTGCAGCATAGTTATTGTTGTTGTTGTTTCCTCTCTGTTTTATCACTCTCTCACAATGTACGCAGCTTCTTAAGCAGCACTACTCTCTTCATATCGGCATATCAATCCCAGTAACACCCTCTCATTTGCTATTTCATTTCAAACCTAAACAATCTACTTCTCTAAGTTAAAACTTCACAGTATTGTAGTCTTTGGTGCTCATGCTTATAAGATCCGAAGCCAAATCTGGTATTACAGCAGGTACGCACCATGTCACCACATGTGGGAAAGCTTTTTGTGATGAGCAGACAGATTATCAAAGGGATAACTTTCTTTTGCAGTTACTTAACAAGTTTAGGATTTACATATTAGTGAATTGAGTTGCAAAACTCACAGCAGTCTACTAATTCAACAATAAATGGAAAAAAGAAGAAATAGAGGCTGGGAAAAGATAATAAGAGCTGAAGAAATCAACTAATCCAACTCAGATAAGACGTGTCACAGAGAAATAAAATTTAAATACCCGTGTTGGTGCTATTTTAGTTGCAACACTCAAAGCAGTTAGCTAATTTAACAGTGAACTGAAAAGGAGAAACAGAGGCTGGAAAAGATAATCAACACCTGGAGAAACCAACTATCCAACTCAGAATAAGTACTACGGTTTGAGCTATTTAGTTGCAAAAATCACAGCAGTTAAGTTTAACGGTGAACAAAAAGGGAGGAATAGAGCTGGAGAAGATACTCAACAGCTGGAAAAATTAATTAATCAGAAATACTTTCTGATTGAGGAACGACCAAGGATAAATATTTAATCCGTCTTGACATGTCCAATGAGAGAAGGATTCGATTTGCTAATCTTAAGCTAACTAGACTTGGAAAGAGCTTGTGAAATATATAGATAAGGAAGGTATTGGAAATTTTTATTTCATGCTAATTGAAGATTTTCAATTTCAGTTATTCAAATGGGGATGCAGTTGTAAAACCCAAGGAGTCCCCTGGTAAATCACTAAAACTCCCATTCCCTCTTTTGTCTTCATTAATCTCCTCTATTTACCTATTTCTAGTGGTTTACTATCAGAAATGCTCGCGTCCTATTTCTTTCCCACACAAATATTCGCATCAAACTTCCTTTGCAATAAAGCTTGAGATCTCATTGATATAAAAGCTATCCTCCATCAGCAACTTTGACAAACTTCTAGAAAACTGACCGCTAATTCTGCCGTGGATCTTTTCTTCTTACATGCATCCTTTAGGGAATGGCAGCAATAGACTATGATAGCCACAAGAAACTACGCTATATATACTCACCACTGAGGCAGAGATCAAAATCTTCAATAACTAACTAAAAATCTTCTAAACTACGCTATATCCATCCATTCTTCTTTCTCTCCAAGAGAGCTAATCTTCATCTAGGTTCGTGCGGTTAGTGAGCAGACCCAGGCATCATAGAAAGACCCAAATCGGGGGTTTCCCGGGCAATTCCATGCACGATAAAAGAAATTTCTAATGCAATCCAACTGGAGTAGCCCAACTGTAACAAGCTGACGCCTGACGGATAATTACTTCAGTAATGGTGCTTCGTTGGTCCAGAAAAAACTTTCAGCCTCCTAAGCCTAACTACGACAGGCTAGTTGTGGTACCAAAAGGGTGAAAACACAGATTATAGAAAGTGCTCGAATGCGGAACTATGACCATTACTCAATACTATGCATTCTTTCTTTACAAACCGTTTTGTTATTATGATTGAACAAATGAACATGGGCATTTTCTTGAAGTAGAAACTCCAGTTAATGCAACTAGAAGTGACTGCCTATATAATCTTAAAATAGTATTGCACTAAACGCAATCAAACATCAAAATACACAACGAACAATCAAATAATGCAACAAAAGAAGCAACTCCATAAAAAACACAGGATTAAAACTAATCTAATTTCACATAATCAAGTGTAAAGTCAAGAAATTAACAACCTTTGGGCCACTGTGCAATTAACTTTTCTTTGAGAGATCCAACTGTGGTGCTAGATGCATACTTATTTGGTCCAATATCACTGCCATCAGCTAGCCTGAATTTGATCTCAACCAACTCCTCAACAGCCATTGAATAGTCTCGTACAAATTATCAAATCAACTGTACAAACTCTCATCAACCACCACACATACAAATGAATAATTCCCACTTCAATCAAGAATCAAGGGTCAAAGTTTCCTCACTGAATCAAAAACAGAGAAAAAAAATGTCAACAGCAAACCAGATCAAATACACCTAAAACAAGAAATGAACAAAAGACACAATTCACCTCAACCCTTTACAATTAGATCCAAATTTTTTAAAAAAAAATCTTTTTATTCAGACAACCCACATCACGATTTATTAGATTGTGAGAGTCTTGAAATTTTCAAAACTATAGAGACCAAAAATGATGAAATAATGAATACCCACATGAGCTGAAAGAATTCTTGTTTCTTTGTTTGTGCTTTAAATTTGCTTGATATAGAAAGAAAGAAAGAGATAAAGAATCTAAAATGGAAGGGTTGTTCCAAGTACGATTATTATAACCTGAATCTAACTGGCAAAATCTAATGATCTGGAAAACGACACTTCTTACTTTGGGTCGCTTGGACACGCAGTAAATTCACTACAAGACAAGTACACGGAAACGGGAATATTACAATCACGTCCCTTAGGTTTAAGATTTAGCAATTCAACCCCAGACCTCAAATATAAAGTTGAATAGGATCATAAGAACACAAAAAGGAAATCTTATACTCCCTCTCTCCTCAATTTACATGGAGATGCTCGAAGTACCAAGGAAAACAAAAACTAATTTTGATGTGAATTCAGGTGTAAATTCTTCAAAANAAAAAAAAAAAAAAAAAAAATACTCCCTCCGTTTCAATTTATTTGAGCTTATTTGACTGGGCACAGAGCTTAAGAAAAAAGAGAAGACTTTTGAACTTGTGGTGTAAAATAAGACACATATATTTTGTGTAGTTATAAATCATTGCATAAAGGTAAATTGTTTCCAAATAAGGAAAGGGGTCATTCTTTTTGGCACGGACTAAAAAGAAAATAGGTTCACATAAATTGAAACAGAGGGAATATATATTTAAAAATTACATAAAATATTTTTAAAAAATCTAAAATAAGTTGTCTCTCGGCTAATAACATCTTCATATAAAATGGAATGGTGGCATTACAACATAGTACAAAATTAGAATACTAAACATTTAAATCATAGTGACATTGTTAAAGATAATCATTTTAAACATAGAAATGTCAAATTTTCAACAATTATCAATTCAAATCAAACATAGTCATATATTTCTTGCAACTCAAAATCTATTGCAATGATCTAGTATGATTATTAGTTGAGAGAAAGGCACGAGGCATCTAGCCCAAACCTACTATAACAAAAAATCTAATATGACTTCCAGTATCATCTTATTATTTTTTGTCTTTTCTAGCAAAATTAATTAAATTATTATTATTTATTTATGACAGGTTAATCTGATAGACACTTTTAATTGTTCAATTTTAATATTTTGGTCTCCTACTCTGTAAAGTTTCAATCAAACGCGTGACCTCTCTCCTATCTCTACCTTAGCACCCAAATGTCGATTCCTTCGCTCTTGGCTATTTCTTGAGAAGATATTCAAGATTGAATCAATTCCAATTCTTTTGGGATGCGAAATAGGTGGAAAAGCTCCCTCTATTTTCTTCAAGAAACAGTTGATATAGTTAACATTTTGACAGATGGCAGTGATGATTAAACGTGTGACACGACTCAGCATTAGAGATTCAATGCTTGACAAGTTGATAAGAATATAGTGTGGGTGCGTGGATGAATCTATTTTTGCTATAAAAACAGTGAAAGTTCATTGTATTCTATTCTCTAGTGGTAATAGGGCAAGGGAAATCCTATCAATCACCTTCATTGAACCGTGGGACGGAACCGACCTTCTCTCCTTTGTTTGTAATTGGACTTGCCCAAAACAAAGGTATCTTGACGTAAGAAACCTCTAAATTAAGAAAATTCAAATAATATCTTGTTGCATAAGCGTAGGAAAACATCCCATAAGTCCCCTCGACTTCCGAATGCCTCCCTTAGCATGTGTTATAAGGAATGTGAATGTAATTTTTTTCTATCTCGTGGCACGCGTGGTTAGAAAAGTTTTTGGTGTACCTATCCTTAAACTAATATTTTATATCAATGTCAAACATTAATTAATAATGTTTATTTAATAGTGTTTATCCGTAAAATGGTACAGTTGAATTTATACGCAGTTTATAGACAAGTGAATCGATTTGATTCATAAATAATAGATGAATTAGACATAAATATAAGACTTAGACTTGGAATTGAAATAAAACAGTCGATATCTTAGTCTCGGACGCAGAGCTACCGGAGGCAGTAAGAACAATATAAATAAGCAAGAAAGAAAAATATTGTTGAGTTTTTGATAGAATATAGTGTATGCTTGTAAGAAAATTTGTCCCTTTATAATGATGGTAGAACTCGCTATTTATAGTTATACCTAGGGAACAAGGTCATAGGATCAAGCCCCTCTTAAATGACAATGTAACGACCCGACCGGTCGTTTTGAGCATTTGCACTTCGCTCGGTAGTTTACGGGCATGAGTAGCTCCGTATGATGTATTATGACTTATGTGAATCGTCGGTTTTGATTTTCAGGTTATTCGGAATCGGTTTGGAAGAATGAATTTCACTGTTATAGCTTTAAGTTGAAAGAGTTGACCAAGTTTGGCCTTTTGTGATTTTGACCCCGGAACGGAGTTTTGATGGTTCTGTTAGGTCCGGATGGTGATTTTGGATACTGACGTATGCCCGGGTTTACATTTGGTTGTTTCTAGAAGGTTTCGGCACAAGGTGACAAAAATTGAAAAATTGAAGGTTTGGAAAGTTCATAAGTTTGACAGGAAGTTGACTTTGAGGATATCAGATTCGGATTGTGGTTTCGGGAATTGGAATAGCTTCGTCATGTCATTTGGGACTTGTGTGCAAAATTTAGGTTCATTCCGGGATGATTTAATATGTTTCGACGCGAGTTTTGAAAATTGAAAGTTCAAAGTTCATAGATTTCGATTTGAGGTGTGATTCATCGTTTCAATATTTTTACCTGTGTTTTGAGGCCTCGAGTAGGTTCGTGTTATGTTACGTGACTTGTGGGTATTCAAGGGAGGATTCATAAAAGGGGAAAGGACAAAGCACATTTCACCAAAGTTACTTTTCACACATGAACTTCAAAAGAATGAGTGCAATAGATCCGTTCAAGTGATAATATGGCTGATTTGTTCACCAAATCTCTACCGACGTCAACCTTCAAGAAACTAGTGTACAAGATTGGGATGCGAAGGTTCAAGGATGTGAATTGATGTTCTTATCAGGGGGAGTTAATACACGATGTATTCTTTTTCCCTTACAAGGTTTTGTCCCACTGGGTTTTCCTTGCAAGTTTTTTAACGAGGCAACCAAAATACGTATTTCTAAATATGTGTAATATTTTTCCTTCACTGGTATTTTTTTTTCTAATAAGGTTTTAACGAGTCACATTATCTATGGACATCCAAGAGGGAGTGTTATAAAAAATTATGCTGGATGTCTATCTTCCTCTCAAATACTTAATGACATATTCAATTTACATATTTCTTCATTTTTCATGCCTATATAAAGACATTGTAATAGATGGAAAGAACACACAATTGAAAAGGAAATAAAATCTCTTCCTTCTCTCTATCTCTATTTCTTATCCATGTTTTACTAAATTGCTTTTATAAATCAGAGCCCCCAAAATGCTTGTTTTTCTCTTCTTTCTTCTCAAAAACTTTAGGCAACAGAGAAACGATTAAAGAGTAAACATTTTCTTTTAACAATAATCTAAATCTCATTTCACGTAAATACAATTATAATTGTGCCAATTATATTTTGGCCTTGCCAGTGGAGCATTAATACTTGGTGACACAATAAGATTATCGAACAAATACTGAACATGTATCTGGTCCGACCTCTGTAGTGCAAGAACTTTCAAAAACTATTCATATTGTCTTGAACTGCCCCACCTGTTGTCTTAATTAGGTTTTGAGTGTTAGATGTTCTCATGTTATTTCCCATGATACTAGAGTTAAAGTAAACTCACTTTTTCAATTATATATAGGACAAATGAAATTAAAAATTATGTAAATAGTTACTACTTTTTTAGGATACAATTCTATCATTTCTAAGAACAGGTTGAGGATTAAATTTATTATTCGTTATATCTTTATTCTCTCATGTTTTAATGATGTAACGAAACAACAAGAGAAACTTCGGATACTTTCTAAGTGAATCTTTTTCTTTGTTTGGGCCGAAGGGGAACAAGATGAATTTGGCTTGTTATTGGATGTGAATTCAAACCTCGCCAATTAGTTATTTCATCAATTAATTAATCTCCAATACTTTCTAAATGCATATTTTTCTTATTTATTTTGTCTTATTTGTTGATTTTTCTTTTGAGACAACCTCATTAAATAACATGTTTGGTAGTGTTATGATGACATAAGACCAACACAACGATTGGTGACCGAATCCAATCTATAAATTAAACGAAATCCACTTTAATAGTGAAAGTGTAATATGATGATTGTAATCGCTGCCCTCTTAATGAGGTGATTAAATCGTTGATTCTGTTCACATGCCGCGAAACTAGCCCACCAATTATACAGATTATACGGGGTCTTATCTCTGATCAAGAATATAGGAGGTGTCTCGTCCCTTACCTTTTTTGACTGCTTCTTTGTAGAGAATTCATGGTGAACCTAAGAATAAGATAAAAAAGGGTCAGGACTTACCTAAACTATATGCAAATTCCGATTTTATTTTTAAAAAGCCAATTTAGGACTCAATCTATTTTTCATTATTATTTTTTGAAATTACCGGACACAAAAGGTGAAATGATAAAAGTAGGAAAATGACTATTATTACGAAAACGACCATTTGATACTTCCACGGAAGGCTTAAAGGATGTCTCGGCAAAAACGACCAAACGAATGTCACAAGTACGGTTTCAAGTACCATAGGCTTGCCCGTCATGTAGATCGCCACTAATGTAAGCTCACTCGGTTTGAAATCAAGTAGGACTTCTTTCGGGATGTAATGAAGGCTTTTGGATTAGGATAGGATACCATATGGGTAAGTGGTTACACCTTTCCTTAAGCACTCTACACTTTTATTTCTCGGCTCACAAATTGCTAATTCTTAGAGGCACTTTCTTTTCATTGGGGACTAGAGAGACTTAACATCACTCTTTCTTGTTCATTTCATTCTTTTTCTCTCTTTTTAATTTCTCAATTCTTGGGATCATTACCTCTTTTTGAATTCATTCAACCCTTCTACTTATTCATGTTTTTGCATTTTTCTTTTTGTTCTTTTCTTT